AAAATAAAAAGGTTAATACACTTGTCTTTCTTTTTTTTTTTTTAAAGGCATTTATCATGTTTGTATATACCTGTGTAGTTTATAGGCAACGCATGAATGCATGTGTGTCTTTGCATGTGCTTGCCCTAACTTGGCTTTGGATGACTTCCTGTGTTGCTTCTTACTATATTTCTGGAAGCAAGGTCTTTGGCTGAGTCCAGAACTCACCAATTTGGTTAGTCTAGCTATTCAGCTTCCCCTGTGGATCCTGCCACTGTCTACCAAGTGCTTGTGTGACAGGTGGTCCTCACATCTTCATGTATTTGTATAGGATCTGGGCATTCAAAGTCCAGCCTCTCATTTGTCTAGTAAGTGTTTTTATCCACTGGGCTATCTCCCCAGTCCATCTATTCTTTAACATACAGAATCAACCTCATTAAGCTTCTGGATACACTTGCTTACACCATCAGTGACCTTGAAGTACAATTCTTCCCTATCTTTATCTTGCTTGACTGTCTCTTCTCTCTGTGTGCATGTGCCTCTCATTCCTCTCTAACCCCTTTCTCAACCTAAATCTTTCTTTTCCAGTTGTATCTTAGGTTGGCTTCTCTCAGACGCAAACAGATAAGGATTGATTGACAGCAGTTCCTTCAGATGGTAATCCCAAGAAACCTCTTCTCAGTTTACATTTTAGGCTGGGTTCCCTGGTAAGTAGCTAAGGCTTGCATATAAAGTTTCTTTGCAAAGTTAAGTGTGGAGGGGACACAGGGAAAGGAAGGCACTACAGGGGCAGAAGAGTTCATTTCCATTAAGGAACCATAGAGAAACCGTTGAATATCTCCAAGTCAGTCCATAGAGGAATAATAACCTAGGAATTTGTCCATTGCTAAGAAGGAAAATCCTCACCGGACAGTGGTGGCCTTTAATCCCAGCACTTGGGAGGCAGAGGCAGGCAGATTTCTGAGTTCGAGAGTTCGAGGCTAGCCTGGTCTACAGAGTGAGTTCCAGGACAGCCAGGGCTACACAGAGAAACCCTGTCTCGAAAAACCAAACCAAAAAAAAAAAAAAAAAAAAAAAAAAGGAAAATCCTCTTAGGTTTAGTGGGTTTATATATATTGCCACCAATTTGACAATAGGAAAAGTGTTTATTTATGTGTCTATGAATGCATAAGAGAAATAACTCCTTAAATAGTCAAACATAAAAACATATACATGTAGCATATGTCTTGAGATTCACAATCATGAGAGTCACAAGAGAAAAACCAGTTCCACATTTTGAGCCAAATTTGAAGCAAGCTTTACTTAAATACTGAGCAGGATGGACTGGAGTCAAGACCACCCTTTAGAATTCCCAGCGAGTGGCAATGAGACAGGTGTCTAAGAGACTTTTAAGGGCAAAACCTTATGGCCACCATATTTTCTTACGTGGCTTTGTCATTTTCCAAAAAACTACAACTCCCAGCATTCCAGGAAGTTACTTGGTCCTTGGGCAGGTGGGACTTACAGGTTACTACTTTAAGAGTAGCTTAACAGAGGAGTGAGCTGGGAATGGTTATGTGTCCCTGCTATTCCAGCACTCGGGAGGCTACATGACACAAATAAATAGGACCAAGGAGTAAAATGTCTTTCGTGAGAACAAATGATAATTAGGGAACAAAGAGATGAGAAAGTTTGTGATAATGCTTGTTTGTGTAGGTAAGAGGATGTCATCTCTTATTTTCTTCCTTTTTAAAAATATTTCAATTGTATTTCATGTATACGAGTGGTTTGCTGGCATGTAGGTCTGTGCACCCACATGCTGTCTACCATCCTCAAAGTCCCAAAGAAGCCGTGAGCTGCCATGTGGACCCTAGGAGTCAAACCAGGGTCCCTGTGTTCTTAATTTGTTAAGCTATCTTTCCAGCCCTTCCATTTTATGTATGTATGTATGTATGTATGTATGTATGTATGTATGTATTTATTTATTTTTGGTTTTCGAGACAGGGTTTCTCTGTATAGTCCTGTATAGCCCTGGCTGTCCTGGAACTCACTCTGTAGACCAGGCTGGCCTCGAACTCAGAAATCCGCCTGCCTCTGTCTCCCAAGTGCTGGGATTAAAGGCTCATTTTATTTTTTTAAGACAGTCTCACATTTTAACCAAGGATAACCTTGAACTAAGCATTTCTCTTGCCTCAGCCTCCCAAGTGCTGGGATTACAGTTGTGAGAGGCCACACCAGGGGTCTTTTTTTATTATTATTCATAAAAAAAAGAAGAGAAAAGGAGGTTGCAGTCTCCCTTTTCCAAGCTTGTCTTTAGTGTGACAACTGCATCTGCTCATAGGACAGCATTTGGTTCCAAGCGTTTATGTCAGGTGCCTCACAATTCTAACTACAGGGAATCTGGTACCCTCTTCTGGCATCCATAGGCACATGTGGCAGACACACACACACACACACACACACACACACACACACACACTAAAAATCATTAAAAAGGGAGCTGGGTGGTGGTGCTGCACATTTTTAAAAAAAAAAAAACCTTTTTATAATTGATTCTTTGTGATTTCATATCATGCACTCTGTCCCTTGGTACCCACTCTCTGCCCTTGCAACCTACCCCCCAAAAGAAAATTAAAAAACAAAACGCACATCTCATTGTAGGAGCTAGTGTGTCATAGCATACCCTCTTGTCTATACATCTTTGCTTATAATATTCATTGCAGTGAGTCATTGATCTGGTTAGAGGCCTTCTGCTTTACATCAATACTGGATCCTCTCGGAGACTCCTCTCTGGTATTCTGTTGTTGTCCTGTCTCATGGAGATTCTGCAGCTTTGGATCTGCAGGACCAGCCCCTTCATCCATGCCAGAATTTCATAGACGGGGTAAATGTTAGGGGGGCCAACTTAAAGCCCTAGATTTGGACCTGGGTGGTAACTGAATTAGTTAGCCCACCAGCTCTCCTGCACCTATACCACCAGGCAAGATTTCCAGCACTACCCTGGCAAGCTCATCCAATGTCACCAGGGCCAAGTCTACTGTGCTGCCCAGGTAAGGTGCAGGGCCAGCTCTCCTGCCTGCCACAGGTGTGGGGTGGGGGTGATCTCTCTCTGGTGGTGCACATCTTTAATCCCAGCACTCAGAAGGCAGAGGGAGGTGAATCTCTGAGTTTGAGGCTACCTTCCTCTACAGAGTGAGTTCCAGGATAGCCAGGGCTACACATAGAAACCCTGTCTCAAACAAACAAACAAAACAAAAAATTCTTTAAAAAGAAAAATAAACAGAACTGTTTCACTGTTCCAACATTTTGTTAATTAAATATATTCCACACACAATACTCTCTTATAAATATTCATTAATTTTATTATTTTATGTGTATGAGTATTTTGTCTGTGTATACACTATGTATGTGTCTGGTATCTTTGGAGGTCAGAAGAGGGCATTGGCTAACCTGGGACAGGAGCTACAGATGGTCTCTCAACCCACCAGTTGGGTGGGCGTCATCCAACCCCTTTCCTCCCTAAGAGCAATAAGTGCTCTTAATTGCTGAGCTAACTCTCCTACCCAACTTTTGAGCCATACAGAATAGTTTTTTTTTTTTTAAGTTAGGATCTCATGTAGACTAAGGTATTCTCAAGCTAGATATATAGTGGAGGATGACCTTGAACTCTTGATGCAGCCTCAACCTGCCCAGTGCTAGGATTACAGGTAAGTCCATCAGGCCCAATGCATGTGCTGCTTGGGAATGAATCCCAGGGCTTCATTAATGTTAAGCTAGCAGTCTACAGAGCTATAACCCTAGCTCCCAAACTGAGGTGTTTTTTTTTTTCATTCGAAAACTAGTACGTGCTTTGTCTCTCAGTTCAGACAGACTACACTTCAAAAGTGATTCTCAGCCACGCATGGCTAGTGGCTACCTCTTCAGAGAAGTCCTCCACCAGTCATCTCCTTAGCAACCTACCCAGCTTTCAAAAAACTTTTTTCCAATGTTATCTATTATTATGTGTGTGCATAGTGTATCAGCATCTATGTATATAATATGTATTAGTGCAGATCCGTACATGTGGAGGTCAGGTACAACTTTCCAGACTTGATTCTCTCTGCCATGGGTTCAAAGAACAAACTCATGCGGAGGCCTACACACACCTCCTCCCCAGCATACCTGTAGCCATTTCGTTCTATGCCTGCCAGCTATTTCACATTTTTGCTGTAACATGCCTGCCAGTCATTGACACAGAAAAATTGATTCAGAGCAAGGGCATGCTGATCATATATCCTGTTATGTTCTTGCACGTACTGCATGAGGTTTGTTAATCTTAATTCCTCAAACCTTTATATAGGAGCCATCAAATTAAATGTCGATATGAGCTATTGTGTCTAAAACGGCTTGAATCAGAGCTGACCACTGGGCAGCACTTCCCGCATCTATGTATGAGCTCACTAGGATTTTTGAGGGTTTTTTTCCCCCTTTATAAGCTGACAGAGAAAAATCAACAATGTCATGGCTCAATCCCATCTGAGCTATGGTCCCGATTGATCAGTATTATGGTGTGGGTTCAATAAACCATCCCTACCCGACTGAAATCGGTCTTTGTGTAAGTTTATGGGGCGACTCATGGACCCCAACACTTAGGAAGGAAGGAGCTTTTACTCCCTGAGCTAGTTCCTTACTAGGTTTTTTGAGACAGAGTGTCATGTTTCCCTGGCTAGCTTCCAGCTCATAAAGGGCGTCATATAGCCCAGACTAGCCTCCAGCTCCCTTTGTAGTGCACGCTGGCCTTGATCTCTGCCTCTTCTTGCCTCCACCTCCCAGGTGCTTGCATTACAGGCGCGTGCCACCAGGCTGGGCGAGCCACTGGTGGTTAGCAGTTTGTATTCTTTGTAGCCCTCTCTGCTATCCGTTATCCGCAAGGAACCCAGGAGCCAGGAATGTCGCAGGGGCTCAGGCCCTGCCTTCTGAGGCCCGGCCCCCTATAGCTCGCAGGCTCCGGTCGCGGGGAGGAGCCTGGAGGCCCCGGGCTAGCGGGGACTCGCTGGCGGGTCATGGCGGACCTCACTTTATGCGCGTTCCTCACCAAGGTGCTGTGTGCTCACGGCGGCCGCATGTTCCTGCAGGACCTGCGCGGCCACGTGGAGCTGTCGGAGGCGAAGCTGCGGGCCGTGCTACGGCGCGCGGGCCCGGGGCGCTTCCTGCTGCAGGAGGTGGAGCTGCGCGACGGCCCGTGGGACGCGGAGGCCGAGGTGGCGGCGGGCGCCGGCTCGGGCTCGGGCTCAGGCGGCGGCGCCACGGCCTGCAGAGTGATGGCCGTGTCCTCCGCGCGCCTCTGCGCCCGCTACCAGCGCGGGGAGTGCCAGGGCTGCGACCAGCTGCACTTGTGTCGCCGCCACATGCTGGGCAAATGCCCCCACCGCGACTGCTGGTGAGGGGCGGAGTCCTCAGTGTCCAGCGGGGCAGTGGGTGCGGGCGGGACGCGCCCTCCGGATGCTCTCTGGCGAGCCTGGGTGGGATGGGACAAAGGCCTTCTTGCTGGCCGCCCCTGTGCTCCTCGTCGCCGAGAGGAATAACATGGAAGGTCTCTCCACTGAGGTTTATTATTCATAGCCACCCTCCCCACCCCCAATGGGCTGTCCCTGGATGGATGCTAGGATGCTTCAAAACAACAGCAGCCTGGTTAAATCCTTGTCGCGACTTTTTGAGTTCACTTATGCCTAGTGCCGCTTGAGGGACATCTGGGGACTTCATGGCCCGCCGAGCTTCTGTTGTCTTCTCTTCCCTCCTTCCGTAACCACAGTTCATTCGTGCTTAAAAAGCTGATGTACTCCAACTGCAGGAAACTGGTGGCAGGATGGGGTGAAGGCCTGGCGGCTACATAGGCCAAGCACTCCTCCCAAGCCCAGTGCTTTGCAGCAACCTGGGAAGCTTTCTGGTGCTTTCTTGGTAGTTGGTGGACAAAGAGAGAAACAGCTGTTGTTGGTCTAAAAAGAAGGTTTTAGTTACACAAAAACCGATGAGTAGCCTCCGCGAGGCCTAAGGGTAAAGTACTTACCCTTGACTTTACAGTACTCACCAAACAGGAAAATGACCCCTGGAAGGTGAGTTGCTTCCACCCCAATTGTTTTATTAGTACTTGGGGAATTCACTTGTAAATTGGAAATGCCTAGGCGAAGAATTAGACCTGCCAGCCTCTTCCCTCTTCTTGATCTGGGCTTCTGACTGCTCTGAACTCTTCTAGGTCTACCTGTTCTTTGTCCCATGATATCCACACACCCATCAACGTCCAAGTCCTGAAAAACCGGGGGCTTTTTGGCCTCAATGAAGCGCAGCTTCGAATCCTGCTTTTGCAGAACGACCCCTGCCTTTTTCCAGAGGTGAGTCCTTGAGAAGCCGCCATCCTACCATCAACTGTGGCAGGCCTTTCTCTCACTGATCGCCTGTTCCTCCATGTTTGTTTTCTTTTGTTGGGATAGGATCTTATATAGCCCAGGATGGCAGCGATCTTGCTATTTAGCTGAGGCTAGCTTTCTTTGTTTATGTTTTGTTTTTGTTTTTCGAGACAGGGTTTCTCTGTATAGCCCTGGCTGTCTTGGAACTCACTCTGTAGACCAGGCTGGCCTCGAACTCTCGAACTCAGAAATCCGCCTGCCTCTGCCTCCCAAGTGCTGGGATTAAAGGCGTGCGCCACCACTGCCCAGCCTAGCTTTCTGTTCTTCTAATCTATACCCCTCCCCACCAAATGTGGAGGCTATAGGGGCCATCTCTCATCACCACTTTAGATGTTAATTTTAATTGCTTTTAGGTACTATGATTTGGTTTTAGGTACTTAAAAAGTACCCATTTTTAATTGCTGGAATGGTAAAATTAGCACATTTGTTTCTATTTATGTGAATTTATTAATAAAATAATCATCTCAAATTTATGAGACTACCAATAAAGTAATTTTTAAAAGATTTATTATGCATACACTATTCTCCCTGCATGTACGCCTGCACACCAGAAGAGAACACCAGATCTCATCATAGATGAGCCACCATGTGGTTACTGGGAATGGAACTCAGGACCTCTGGAAGAGCAGTCAGTGCTCTTAACCTCTGAGCCATCTCTCCAGCACCCCCATAAAATTTTAATCTGGCATGATCATTCTATTGTAGACATTCCTGTTAGAGGCAGGAGGAACAGACACCTTGATCCAGGATGTCTCTTTCTACAAGCTGAGGCATTTCCTTATCTTTGAGGGACCTGAGCCCTGATAAAATCAGATCCGTGGCTTCAATGCAGAAAGGAATTTTAGGGAGAGCTCATAGGAAGTAGGGTTTATTAATAGACTTTAAAAATTAGATGTATTTGCTGGTGAGGTATTTTTAGGGGGTCAGGTACAAGGAGCAGTGTGGCATCTGTGTGGTTGTTCATCTCTGTATCTGCATCAGCGGGGGGGTGGGGTGGGGGTGGCAGGAGATCTCTTTAAGTTTGAGACCTGCCTGGTCTACATAGTGAGTTCCAGTCCAAATAACTCCAGGCATTGAAACCCTGTCTTAAAAAAACAAACAAAAACCTGCAGTGTATCATTTTGCCAGATTAGATTAGCTATTGTGGAGAAAAGAGAAAGAAAAAGAAGGAAAGAGAGAAAGAAAGACAGAAAGAAAGAAGGGAAGGAAGAAAGAAAGAAAGAAAGGAAAAAGGAAAAAAGTAGACTAGTGTGATGGTGGGAACCCGAAATTCTCTAGAGGCCAAAGAATTCAGAGTTAAGGACCAGCCTGGGCTACACAGCAAGATCTTCACTTGAAAATGAAGCAAACCAAAAGCCAAACCCAAGTCAAGATAAAACAAAGATAAATTATGACAAGGATGCTGAAAACTCCCATAGGTAGAACAACAAGGTTTGGAGGTTTTTCGAAAAAAACAAAAACAAGCTATGCTTGGTGGCTCACTCCTGTAATCCCAACACTCAGCTGCAGCAAAAGGGTAGCAACAGATCTTGTCTCAAAACAGAAACACAGAGACCAGCGGGGTAGCTCAGCTCCCAGAGCACTTGCCTAGCATGGGCAAAACCTTGAGTTCAGTCCCTGGCATCTCATAATAACCAGGTTTGGAGGAACTTTTGATCCCCCTGTCTCCCTAATGTGATTATAGGTATGGGCCAGCATGTCCAGTTTTATGCAGTGCTGCCGGTCAAACCCAAGACTCCAAGATTCTTGCTGTGTAGCCCAAGCTCTCCTCTACTAGCTATCATGTGAGGCAGTTTACCTGTAACTTTGGCTCTAGGGGATCTGTGGGTACTCACTCATATGCATATGAGAAGTTTGATGGCAGCTTTGGGGGAGGGCTGCATGTATGTGCACATGGCATGTGAAAGCCAGACAGCGCTGGGGATATATATTTTATTTATATGAGTACACTGTAGCTGTCAGACACACCAGAAGAGGGCACCAGATCCCATCACAGATGATTGTGAGCCACCATGTGGTTGCTGGAAATTGAACTCAGGACCTCTAGAAGAGCAATCAGTGCTCTTAACTGTTGAGCCATCTCTCCAGCCCCCACCGGGGGTCTTTTTTTTTTGTTGTTGTTCTGTTTTGTTTTGTTTTGTTTTTTTGAGACAGGGTTTCTCTGTGTAGCCCTGGCTGTCCTGGAACTCACTCTGTAGACCAGGCTGGCCTCGAACTCAGAAATCCGCCTGCCTCTGCCTCCCAAGTGCTGGGATTAAAGGTGTGTGCCACCATCGCCGGGCTCCGGGGGTCTTTTTAAATCATCCTCCACTTTACTTTTTTGCGACAAAGTCTCAGCCCCACCCCCAACCCCCACACTTCTTTTTTTAAAAAAAAAGTCCAGACATGGTAGTATTGTTACCCTGTAATCATAATGGTGGAGAGGAGAGACAGGAGAACCCTGGGCCTGCTGACCAACCAGCCTGTCTGAATCAGTGAGTTCTAAGTTCCATGAGAGACCTGTCTCAAAAAAATACAGTGGAGGGTGATTTACACAGACCGCCAGTGCTGACGTCTGGCCTTCAGATGCATGTGCACATACGTGTACCCTGCCCCCAAAGCTGTCATCACACTTCTCATATGCATATGAGTTAAGCTACAGTTTGTTGGCTTACAGGTAATAGTGACAACTCACTCAAGCCTTGCTTCACTTCCGCCCCAGGTCTGTTTGCTGTACAACAAAGGTAGTGATGCCCTCTATGGCTACTGCAACCTCAAGGATAAGTGCAACAAGTTTCACGTATGCAAAGCCTTTGTGCGGGGCGAATGCGCATTTCAGCCCTGCAAACGGTCCCACCAGCTCATCCATGCTGCCACTCTGAAGTTGCTAGAGGACCAGGAACTTAGTGTTTCGAGCGTCGTGAATTTCCAGATCATCTCTATCTACAGACATAAGAAGTTGCACAAGATGCTTGAAGGTAGGCATAGAGCCTTCGGTGAGGAGGTCTGTGTAGTAGGAGGGCCGGTGAATGGAAGGCAGCCTGCAGACAAAACATTTCATGTGCTAATTACAGCCTTTCCTTGGAAAGGTTGAGACTGTCACATTTTGTTTTGTTATTACTTTATTTGTTTATGGTGTGTGTGCCTGTGTGTGTGTGTGTGTGTGTGTGTGTGTGAAGGTGCCAGAGGAAGCCAGAAGAGGGGATCAGATCCCTTTGAGGTCTATGAGGTGCTGGCAATTACAGCAGACAGTGCTTTTAATCACAGAGCCGAGCTGTGTTCTAGCCTCAGCTAACATATGGAAATATGATTCTAACCAAAGAAGAGAAGATTTTGCCAAGTTAGAGGATTTGCCCAAGTGTTTGAGCATGGGAGCTTCTGGGAAAATTGGGAGTCAAGAATTTGGTAGAATAAGCTTAGTAGTTCAGCTGGGAACGTGGAGGGAGATTGGCAGGTGATGTACATGTGGTTTACTTTTATGAAATTGAAGCTAAAGTTTTTCCCTATTTTCATTTTTAAGTAATTTTGACCACATTACAGGTAACTGACTAGAAATAAAATTGTGTGTCTCAAGAAGTGCTGGAGAGATGTCTCATTGGTTAGAGTACTTGTTGCTCTTGTAGAGGACCAAGGTTCGATTCCCAACATCCACATGATGGCTTAGAAATTTTATTATTTATATAAGATAATAAAATAGGGGCTGGAGAGATGGCTTAGAGATTAAGAGCACTGACTGCTCTTCTAGAGATCCTGACTTCAACTCCCAGCAACCACATGGTGGCTCACAACCACCTGTAATGAGATCTGATGCCCTCTTCTGGTGTGTCTGAAGACAGCTACAGTGTATTCACATACATAAAATCAATAAATCTTAAAAAAAAATAATAGTAAAATAATATTTTTAAAGTTTGTCTTAGTCACTGCTCTAGTGCTGCAAAGAGACACCGTGACCATTTCTTATAAAAGAAATGGGACTGACTTAAGATTTCAGAGGCATGCATTATCATGGCAGGGAGGCCATTGTGACAGGTACAGCAGGCATGGTGCTGGAGAAGTAGTTGAGAGCTATATCCTGAGAGCTATATCCTGATCCACAGGCAGACAGAGAGAGAGAGAGAGAGAGAGAGAGAGAGAGAGAGAGAGAGACAGGGCCTGGCACGGGCTTTTGAAACATCAAAGCCCACCCGCGGTGACACATTCCCTCTAACGAGGCTGCAGCTCCTAATCGTTCTAATCCTATCAAAGAGTTCCGCTCCCTGGTGAACTAGCATTCAAATCTACCAGCCTAGGGGTGCCATTCTTATTCAAACCACCACAAAGTTGAGGGGAGATCCACTTTGCGGTGACTCTGCCAGCCCATCTTTGTTGACTAAATTTAATATCAGAAATATCTCCTCATGTTGCCGCTCTTTCCGACTGCTTATTTTAATTTATTTACTTTTTTTTTTTCATCCAATCCACCCCATTCCCTCCCGTGTTGCTTCCAACCACATAGAATTAAAACAGAAAGCTCATCTCTCTTCCTTTCAGACAACCCAGCTTCTACTGAGCAATCTCAAGGCCTTGGGAAACAAGGAGCCCTCGGGCCCGGGGCTGTGGAAGCCAGGCCTTTCCTCCCTGCCCGTGCTCAGTTGCCCAGGAAGCCCCAGTAAACCTTAAGGAGCATTGGAGGAAGCGAGAAGCAGCTTGTCCATCTTGGAGGATCAGAAGCAAGACTTCTGTTGAGCTGGAGGTTTTAGCTGGTCTTTCATTAGTATCATTGGCAACTCTAATACCTACCTCACAACTGATTGCCAGAACCCAGGATGGAAACGAAAATACACTTGCGGCTGAAGTTGGACCTGGAGCCGGCAAAGAGAGTAAAATTCTGAGCATGTAGTCCAGGGCGACTCCTGAAGCTGTAGCGTCTCTGAATACCTTCGTCCCTCTGGACAAAGCGCAGGTTTCTGCTGCCTTCTGGGTCCAGCTGGTGTTTTCTAGACTCTATTTACATAGCAGACATGGAATTATAGACGTAGCAGTTTGTGCGTGCTGTGTACTATTTGTTACTTGGGTTTATACATAATCCCTTTTTGCACAGGATTATTAGTATAGTTTAATCACTTCCCTTATTCTGGAATGTTTCATACTCCTAACAATGTTTGAATATCTCACTTTGTATCTGTGCAGTATTGAGTTTAAAAGCCAATTTGTACCTTTGCTTGGATTGTAAGTACTAAACAATACTGTCTTCTGATACACATTTCTTTAACCATCTGTGTAGATGACCTCTGTCCCTGCTTCCTGTGTGTTTTGCTTGCTTTTGTGAAGTTCCTGTGTTGCATTTTGTGGTTCGGGCCATCTGTGCTGTTGTCAATACTGTGTTTGTAATATTCAAGTTTCTGGGTCCATGCTCAGTCAGCATCCCAGCTAATACTCTTTGGGCCCTGCCCAGAGGTTTCTACCTCACCCCACCCCTCTCTCATCTTCTATCGAGCCTATCAGAGCTCGGCTGCTCTATCGTGAAGGATGTGTAGGTCACTCCTTCCAGTTGTATCTCCCCCGTGTGGATGGGGACAGGCCATCAGGAGTGTAAATATAACTTGCCCATTTCATGGTCTCTCCCTCCCTCCTTCCTCCTCCCCTCCTCTCTCCTCCCCTCCTCTCTCCTCCCTCCTCCCTCCTTCCCCTGCCCTCCTCCCTCTTCCCTCCTCCCCTCTCCACTCCTCCCCTCTTCCAGCCTCACACTGTACCTACTCATCCTGTTGTTTTCAGCGTGTGATTTGCAGATATTTGTTGTGGTCATGTTCCCCAGTGTCACTGTGTAAAAAGATTTGTGTTTCCTTTCCATAATGTGACATTTGAGAAGTAGGAGCAATTTAGTAAGTTTTCATAAAGTCAAACTTTACCTTATTTGGAGAAACTTTTATCATGATGCCAATGGATCAAAGGAGAGGAGGGATGTAAATGTGTCCTTTCCAAATGAAAAACCAGATTCCTCTTACTGGACAGCAGTCTCGAAGACTTAAGGTTTTTCACTTCGATTGTCAATGACAGTATTTCTGAAATTGTGTTTTACATTCTTTCCTTTCTTTTAAAATTTCTAGTTGTGACTTTTTTCCTAGTGGTATTTGTGTGTGTGTGTGTGTATCAAGCCCAGGGCTTTGCCCATGTGAAACAAAGTCCTCCACCAGCAAAGTACAACTAAGTCCTGGGCTAAACGTTAAAATAAAATTTTAGGCCAGTCACAGTGGTGTATGGCTTTAATCCCATCACTGCGGAGGCAGAGACAGGCAGATCTCTGTGAGTTCAAGGCTGCATGATCTACAGTGTGAGTTCCAGGTTAGTCGGAGCTGCGTAGTGAGACCCTGCCTCCAAAGAAATTGAGTTTAGTTATTATTACTATTTATACTCTGTCATTTTCCTGTATGTATTTTACTGTAAGCCATCTTAAGTCCTTAACGGGATGGGGTAGCTCAGTGCATACTCTTTCCATCAGTAGACGTGGTAGCATTTACAGGATCGTTTTCTCATGCGTCTCACCGTCACGCCCTTATGCGTGATGTTACTGGTCTATAATCATTATTGCAACATTTTCTTCAAGTCCATGATAACTCATTTTAAGTTTCAGTTCTTTTGGAATTTAGTTTACAAAAATTCTCTTTCTGTATATATGGTACTGGGAATGGGCCTACGGCTCATGTATGCTAGACAAGTGCTCCAACTCTGAGGTACATTCTCAGCACTAATGTTACGTTGTCATTGTTATCCAACTGAGTGTGGATGCTCACCCCATGCCGGGCAGAAAAAGTTAAGAGATGTGGTACTGAGGGCAGAGGGTGATTTGATTCACTTCACAAATCTTCTTAGAAAGGAAGGATGGGGGCGTTACACAGCCTGACTCGCTGGGGAGCTACCTTGGGGTCATTTTATACATGTGGGTGATGGCTGGCCTTGGGCACTCTCTCCCAGTACGTGGGCTGGAGAAGGCACAGCTCTGTGCCTTGTCTTGAAGTGTTTTCACTTCTTCCTATCTCCAAAACGGATGGGTATATTCTTGGATTTACTTTTCAAATTAGTTCCACAGCACACAGTGAACTGACTCCCAGGATGGAGAGGTCCTGAGGCCTGACCTTGTGTAATGAGAGAACTAGACCCCAGGATCACACTCCCTTCCTTTGCTCTGAACATCGCCTGATGACCGTTCCTCAGAGAGTTCGTGTTAGCGATAGTGAGGTCTGTGTGGGAAAGGGGCAAGTTTTGAGGCTCCACTTGAACTATCAGTTTTCCCCAGCCCTCCCCCACCTCATCTGAGACACTTATCCAGTCACTGCCTTAAGATAACACGTTACTGATTGCCCCTACTGTCTTTTTCTCATCCCATGTCAAACCTGTTATCGAGTGTTGGAAGTACTTTTCCCCCTGTGGAGACCTCTTAATGGTCGGTTTTCTTTGCTTCTCTCCATATTCAGACACTGCCTTGGTGCACACTCAACCCCCACGCCCGGGGGGGGGGGGGGGGCGGTGTGTGCGTGTGCGTACACACAACACGCGCACACACACAGACGCACACTCTTCACTGCCTTGGTGCACCCCCCCCCTCACTGCCTTTGTGCACACCTCTCCTGTGTATTTCACAGGCACATTACTCAGTGATGTCCAGGTTAATTGTTGGTTTTTTTTTTTTGGTTTTGTTTTTTGGTATGAGGAGCTGGGTAGGCTCTTGCACCCATTGTAATAATAGTAGCCACATTTAAATTATTGATATAGCTGGTCTTTGTAGATTTCATTTATTTGTTGACATGGGTCCCATGCAGCCCAGGCTAGTCTCAAACTCACAGTGTAGCTCCAGCTGGCCTTGAACTCCTTACCCCCTTGCCTCTATCTCTCAAGTGGCCCGGGGTGTAGGTGATTGCTACGACATCTGCCTCTAAAGTGGCTTTTGGTTCCCTGCTTTAAGCACGTTTTACTTATTTAGTATACGTGTTTAGGCTTCCAAGCGCAGTGATGTGTGTGGTTCTGTGATGTATATGTGGAGGTCAAAGGTCGCCTGCCCATTGTCACCTCTCACCTTACATTTGAAGGAATTCAGGTTGTTAGGCATGGTGGCAAGTGCCCTTACACACAGCGCCATCTCATGGGACCTTGCTTGTTTTGAGATCTATAGAGGAGGTGGCTTTAGTAGTCCTGCTGCTCCCCGAGTGCTGGGGTCACAGGTGTGGGACATACCTGTTCCTTCTTGTCCCTGCCTCCGTTCCAGCTGACTGATCTTTTGGAAGCAAACCTAAGGATATTGCAGTTCTGCTTCTCCTGCTGAAATTTTTATCAGCCTCCACCATGCAAGGCAGGAGTCATACAGTAAGATCCACAGGGCAGAAGTGACAGGTAAATGGAGGTGAGGAAGAAGGGCTGTGGCAAGCTGTCCTGACAGTGAGGGATACTGCCTTCTGGTTTCCATCTGGGGTTGTGGACCCAGGTCTTCATATTCAGTTTTTCAGAAGAAGTCAGAAATACAAACTTTTGTGAGATACTACTTTGGTGATTAAGTATTAACTTGTTTTTTGGTTGAGTTTTAGAAATAAAAGGTTAGAATCTGGTGTTGTGGAACATGGCCTATAATTCCAGCACTCGGGATGGGAGCTGGAGGCAGAAGAATCCAGAACTAAAGGCCAGTCTTCATAACACGGTGAGTTAGAAGCTGGCCCAGCTACTGGAAACCATGTCTTAAAAAAACAAACAACAAAACTGATGGCAAAATTTCAACTAACTTGAATTTTTTGGAATGTATTTCATCTTATTACTCTTGTTTGTTTGTTTGTTTGTTTGGTTATTTCTGTTTTTGTTTTGAGGCAGGGTATTCTAGGCTGGTCTTGAACTCAGTATGTACTCTATGTTTTGGATCCTCCTGCCTCCACCTCCTGAGTGTTGACATTCCTGGCATTTGCTACTATGCCCCACTTAAGCAGTGCGTGGGACTGAAGACAGGACTTGATCTTGATAAGGAAGCACTGCCAACCGAGGGACATCCCCAGGCCTAGCCCTGGACTCTGTCTTTAAATGATGTTGCCTCTTCTGTAAACAAAATCATAATTCTGTAAACATAATTCCCTCTGTGTGCCTCAGAGCCTGGCACAGTTACAATTGTCAAGACTCTCGATAACTTACTGACCCCAGAGAGGTGTTTCGTATACATCACATTCCAAAGCTTTGGTTTTAAGCAAAAACATTATTTACTCCTTGTGGTAATTCTGACACTTAGAAGTTAGAACATTTCTTGTCAGATACTGAATTAGTTGATTCAGTATATGCTGGCTTTCATTGTTTTGTTTGGTTTTGGTTTTATAGGTTTGGTTGGTTTTGGTTTTGAGACAGGGTTTCTCTGTGTAACAGAGCCCTGTCTGTCATGGACTCACTCTGTAGACCAGGCTGGCCTTGAACTCACAGAGGTCTACCTGTCTCTGCCTCCTGAGTGCTGAGATCAAAGGCATGTGCCACCACTTCTGGCTCTGATTTTGGTTTTGTTTTTATTTAAAATAAAAGAAAATCAGGCTCTCATTGTAGACCTGGCTGGCCTGGAACTCATGTAGACCAGGTAGGCCGGAAGCACCTGCTAGGTCTAAAGATGTTCCCCACCACACTCAGTTGAGGTTCTTTACTTTAAAAAAAAAAAAAT